ACTGGGTAAAACGATTTGGAATGGTTAAAAGTATAGAATAGGCCAAACGGGACTGGCTGAACTATTCTAAATAATTCCTGAAGGTATAAACATAAACTAATTATTAAAAGATTGCAATCGGAAATTGAAACGTACCTGACTTGGTAAAACAAGGATTAACAGCTAGGGAGGGCACCCGCCAAAAAACGTTATCAGGAAGACACAGAGTGTCAAAATTATCCTAACGAACTTGGATTTAGAACGTGCCTGACTCAGACAGGTAGAAAATAACTACTGTTGAGAAACTCGTTATCAGGAGGCAATAAGTGCCGTGGTTAATAAACCAAATATAGAGAAAAGTAAATTGATACAGAAATTGAAGTATTTCGTATAATAAAATACATTGAAACCGTGAGATTTGGACACGATCTCTCAGTGCATAATTCTAGTGTGTACATGTTGCATGTAAAATAACAAATCGATTGCTGCGAAACAATTACACTATTACTATTAATTTCATTTACAATAAATCTATTATCACTTAATCATCCTATAATATTACGCCTAATAAAAATATAGATTTATTAAATTTCAAATATCTTCTTTGACGTCTTTGATGGTGATGCCTCAGTTGGTAATTCTTTTGTTTGAATATATGTTCTACTTGGATTCTGTATGATCGCTCGCATTTTTGTATAGTATTCCATAATACGAATCTTTGATATCAAAAATAGATCTTAAGAATATTGTAGATCAGAAAATGCATCTAGAAATTGACATAATCCATACCTTGAAGAAATAAATCTTTTCAATAAGTTCTTTGATCATGTAGAAATCATTTTTGATCTCAGGAATAGAGAATTGCATAAGTATATCAACAATGTATATTCCTTCTGGTATGCGATGCATTGTATAAATGGTAATTACACGTTCTAAAATAATAGAAATAAAGGAGTAAGATCATAAAAATCACATTTAGTCACCTGATTATCATCACTTACGATATACTACAATTCCGTAACTTTCTATGCATTTGATTTTATCTTCAGTGGCTCCACGTTGAAGGAAATATAGTCTCTGATAGAACATGGAGATTTGCATTGCTATAGAATAAATTTACATTAATAATGTATTAAAATTACAACCATCTCAACATGAATGAATAAACTCACAGACCTTTGAAGACTTTTTCAGTGTCCTCGCCTAGTTTTTTAAAGTCAATTTCAATTGCACTACCAACAACTTCCATCAAACCAATCTCCAAGTCCGTCGCATTTAAACTGACTTCAATGATACCATCTTGGTTACAACCAAGGCGGATATATTTTCCTTCTGTTCATGCATCTCCCAGAAGATTTTTATTTGCTTCGTCTTTTTAGCACTCTTGTATAAAAAAGGTAGTAAATTAATGAAATATATTCATCGTCATGTATAGTAGAAAATAGGAAAAACCGCAGACGAACAAGCAGTCTTTCCCTTACGAACAAGCAGATCGAAAGGTAGTCCACGAGGACCATTCTGGACCAACAAGCAGTTTTTTTCCTTTACGAACAAGCAGATCGCAAAGTAAGTCCATTAAACTATATGCACGACACACCATTGGAAGATGTGCACACCAACAAACAAGCAGTCTTTCCCAATACTAACAAACAGATAGTATGGTAGTTGGTGAGGCACAAGAGTTGAACGGACCTTTGAAGTGAACAAATAAAATACAGGTAAATATAAACATGCCTTAAAAGCTAGTTTCCATTTTTATACTTTTTCCCCAATTTCAGATATTTTGGCATAATACGAACTAATGGTTAACAACTCATTCTTGTAATTATTATGCTCGGTTTGCATATCCTCTAAGTCACCGGAACGAAGCCGAAAATCCAAAAATTTTTTGAGCGTAGGTTCTTTAGTGTTTTCCCAAAAAACTATATAATTATAAATCGCAGATTAAGAACGGGAAACCCATAAAGCGTTACATGTTGCATCACTTTCCTTACTACGGTAAAACAAATTGTCAAGATACTCAGGTGTTAAATCCATTTTGGAGAAGTTAGTATTTTTTTTGTTTATTCAAATAGTTAATCCAAAAAGCGTGTTTAGACGTGTTCATTTATTTATTCCTAACTGGTTAGATTCTTGACGGCTTCGATATAAATTATTTTGATTTTATATAGTAATAGATTTTTCGATATATATTAAAAGATTACTAATATAGTTTTAAATGTTTAATACTTTCGGATTATTTTTATTTTACAAAATGAAAACTTGTTAACTTTTATCGCATTTTTAACAACTTTACAATCAATTTTAAAATTTTTTAATTCAAACTAAAGTGCCAGTTTTTATTTCCATATATTTCACTTTTTACTCTATGTTGATATAATAATTTATTAACTCGAAGGTGGTGCTTGTAGTCAACCAAAATTTATCACCGATATTTAAAAATCGGCTAATCGATTTTATTTACAAAATTAGCCGAGTGATATATTTGATAAGCTATTGATCTCAGTATAGGGTGTGATAATGTTTATTCGCTTATCAAATCGGTAAAATAATCACTCGGCTTATCATATGGGTGATAACAAGGTGATCAAGTTATATCAAAAAAATTCATAAGTAATTAGGTTACAATCAGGTACATACGTGCAGAAATTTATAAAATTTATAAGTAATTACGTTACGATTAGGTCACAATTGGGTACTACATACATACAAAAATTTATAAGTAATCAGGTTACAGTAAAATTAATAAGCGATTAAAAAATCACTTTTATTCTTAATAATCATGCTATATCACATAAATGACTGGCTCAAATTTTATTTAACCTAATCACT